GAAATTTTCATCTTTTTCCTATGTCCTGCCCTCTACATAATATTTTGAAGAGCAAGATTTTCAAAATCCTTATATTCTTTTCTCTTGTGAACACATCTAAATGTATTTATCAAAATCTCAAATAGTCACAATCTTTAACACATTTTTATTAGACAAAAAAAAATCAAGATATTCTTTAGTCAGAATTCAAAAACAAATCTTTTGAAGTACTAAGATCTGTCTAGATTGATTTTTTCCAATAAGTATTTTTCCCTTTGGCGCCACACTTGAATGAAAAGGGTGACAACACCCCTATTTGAAGTCATTGTCCCATTGAACCTGAGGCATATTGCCAATGGAAGTAGTACTGTTTATGGTGCAAGGTGGTTTGTCTAGTGTATTAATTATTATGAATGCTAAGTGTATTGATTGTTAGATGTTTATATTACTGCGTTTGTAAACCCCAGGTAAATTAGAATTTGTTGACATTATCGCTAAGAAAAATTTCGCTCAACATAAAACTCATTTTACTCATGTTGAGCTTTGTGGCATTTTTTTATTACTAAAAAAACAGAAAGAGGAAACAAAACAATCTCCACTTTGTTCATATTGACTTAGCCAATTTAAAAATTCCTTAGTTATATAGTTGTTGATTGCCATACTATCTCACATGTAGAAGCATCAAGAATGAAATATTATTTCCATCATATTTTAGCCAACCAAGTGGAACATTACTGCTTGATTCAATGCCACATTAGTCTTTTCCACCAAATAGAAGAGTATTTCTATTTTCCGCAGCTCCCAAGCTATACATCAGAGTGTGCTAGTCAACCATATTAAGGCAACAAAACCTTCTCCACTGAGCTTCATTTTTATAAGAATTCTCCATTTCCAATTTCCAATAACACAAACATTAAATAATTTCAAACTTGTTTTTTTATCCCAAAACCACCTATATTATCATTTTGAGTAAATTTGCAACTTGAAATTGTGATTATAATTTTTGTTTGTAGTTGACCAGTTCTTGAATTTAATTGGATATACAAGTTATTTGTTAAATTTGAACTCGATAGCATAGTTCATTGGGTCTTATTTTAATTTCAATAAATGATCATTCGAAATGAGTTATGTTAATTCAAAGATTAATTTGTATATTAAATTTAGAGACATATATACTTGTAATAATAACAAATACATGGGTTGTGTTGCTATTTGACCCATCAAAGTTATTGAACCGAGCCCGAAAGAATACTTACAAATATTCGGTTGTAGTCTTTTTACTTGATATTTTTTTCCCACCTTTTAATAATTGGGCTTTTAACAAAAGTCCAATAGTAAGAGCCTGTTAAGATTTAAGAAGCTCATTATATCAACGTAACCCATCCATTGGGCCATTCTCATGCCCATCCAATATAAAAAGCATATCACAGGTCTCAACTACTTTTAGTAAACTCGGGCCGGACTTGATTTTTCAGTAAAGGTTTTCAAAACAAAACAGGATAAAGTCCATTTAGTGATTTAGGGGTTAGACCCCTGACACCTCAAATTTTGAGAAGTTATGTAGAAGGTTTTGAGGACTTCTTATTCACTAACTATATGTCCCCAAAGTACGAATTATGAAATATTACAATAATTGATTCCATTATGGATGACCATCCAATACTTTTTTATATTTTCTTATTTCAGGAGGTATTGAAGTGAAATATTTCATATAATTGATAAGAAAAGAGAGAGAGAGAGAGAAAATAATTTTTAACGAAGACTTCGGAATTCAGAGTTCACATTGGATATTGCTTTTGGTGGGATACACACCATCCTTGCTCTCATTTTCTATCCTTTGACCTATATAATTGGTTAATACCTCAATCGTAATCCTCCAAACGTAAGTTCGTTATTCTCATTCCTTTCTATGTGAATGGTGTACCTTTTGAATTTGATCATTATTATTACTAACGTTTTTCAACTTTACCCTTACCTCATTTGTTGATATAACATTTATAAGTCTTTGTTGACCTTATTTTTAATCAATATAAAATTTAAAAAAAAATTCTAATACATATTCTCTTATTAAGTACTATTAAATTCACTACAAGAAATGTTACATATAGTGACATACAAAAAGTGTCATTATAGGTACAATATATGTAGGTATATGTCTATTTGACATATAGTTACACATAATATTAGTATTGATTTTGAATGAGATTTAACAACATATTTTATGTGTCACTATAGTTTATACTCACACTTTTTAATAATATACCAACATATATTGTAGTTATTGTGTGGGTAAAAGTAATTTTTAGTGACATGTATAGTGTCACTATAGGGTGTATGTCACTATATGACAATTTTGTTGTAGTATTAATACATAAATAATGAGTAAATCTTCTTTTTAATGATATACGACAAATGTAATTTAAAATTTTTTTCAATAAAGTTTATTCAACATTATAGTGGACGGTCAAAAAGTTGTTTTCATTGATTTTGAACTATATTTGTCAAATGCATCCATACAGCAAAAATATAGAAAAACTTAAATAATATATAATATTATACAAAGTCTACTTTCCCATATAATATCACTTTATGATGTTTGAATAATGGAAGGGATAGAACAATATCCTCTATTGTTGGATGTGTGTTTTCAAAATATATTTATACCAAAAAGACAAAAACAAAAATAACATAAATAGAAATATAAATAGTTAAATAAAAAAACATAAAAATAAATAACATATATAATATGGATTTAGGATAATTGATTATATTCATATTCTTCCATTCCTTTTGCTATCTGCTTTTTCTTTTATTCTCTCTCTCATTTTTTTTCCTTTCTATTTCTCTTACACGGTTACACCTATTCAGCCAAAATTATGGTGAACGTTCAGTTTTATTCATCGATTTATGATGTTCTAATAATAGAAGTGGTAGACAATTACAAATAGGGTTACCACCGTACAGTTGGTATAACCCACACCAACTCATTAAAAATGACATTAACTCCGACAATGATCTTGCATAGAACAAATATGTTTTGACTACTTCATCAGCTTTTGGTTTTTGGCACCGCCATGGATTACATTTTGAAGCGGAATAATGGGGATATCTCTACCCCTTTTGGAACCATAGGGAAAATTTGTTCCATAAAAGGCAAAACAGTTTCAAAAGGTTGTCTCAAGTCGTAGTATACGCACAAGACACACCCCATGGCATGCACTGGAATCCTGCCAACTCTCTTTCTCTATTGCCTCTGAAGTTTCTTGGAAATTTTGTAATAATATGATCCAAATTAATTGAGAATGAGAACAATAATTAATTAATACCCGGAAAGGAAACATCCCACTCTTGGACACTGACCCACGGTTTTCTTTTTTAATTGCATTTAATTTGGAAAAGACAATGCACTAGAATAGTCCAAATGTTGAATTATAAAGTCCTATGTCTTGACTGTATACCACCCTTGCAATGTACGATTTTGAATGAGAAACATGATATACTACCAGTGGTAATGCATGTCCAGAGATCCAAAGAGATCGAAGACTAAAATGCTTTCCGTAACTAGCAAAGGATCCATAGTAGTCTCAGCTTTCGACAAAGATGAATTCAATATGGATGAGACCAATACTAACTTTTGGTTGAATTTGTGAATTCAAAGTGGGTAGATCAAGCTAGTCTAGAGACAAAATCTGCACGATGATAGCGTGAACCAGCTAGAAAGTGAATCATGGTCATGGATAACTGCATGCGAATGAGGAAAAGTTAAATCAAGTAGTGTACTTTCTTCTTCTTTTTTCCTTGATCGAGTTGGATGAGTACACACAGAAAGGCAACCAATGAATCAGATTTTGACTAACCAAACTAACCATTATTACAATTTTAAAGTTTTTCAAAAGGAAATCTTTGAAAACATTCAACCTTTGGGTTTTTGCCAAAGTTCTGTTAATGATTTTTTAATTATCATACAATTATATAATTAATTAGGAGAATTATAAGGTGATGACATAGAAAAATATTCAATTTTTTGTCATTTATTTATTTTAATAATATATCGTCTAAAAGTTAAAAATAATTTTACATGATTGAAGTTTTTTTAGCCCCTAATCTTATAATACACTTTTTTTTTAGACCCTGACCTTATAATACACCAATTAATTAATACAAACACAACAAATATATTATTGTAAAAATGGAAGGGGGAAAAAAAGTCATTTTAAAGTGAATTTTTGGGGTTACACATGCTATTTTTCACCCACCCCACATATTTATATAAAGAGAGGTTGTCATATCTTATTACCTCTTAACTTGATTTTTCCCTGAACATAAAAAACAAAAAAAAATGTTTATTGTACCAACAAAAAAAGATAAGAGGTAAGTTAAAGAAAATCATATCTCATTACAAAGACAACATAAAATTCGAATTCATATATTATTAACAATAATCAAATTCTAAACACTCAAACACATAAACAATAATTTAACGAGTAGAGTTCTTGTGTTTATATTATTAATTAAAAATAGGATTACATTAAATATATATATATATATATATATATATATATATATATTTTGTCATTCTATATATATATATATATATATAAACCGCGAAAACATAATCCTAAACTTCCGATTCAATTAATTTATATCAAATTCTATTATTTCCTTATCGACAAGTCCTTAATGTCAACAATTAAGATATTAATGTATAATTGATGAATTAAATTTATGTCATTTTTACATTTAAAATTTTATTTAATTTGGTGTATTATCTAATACCAATTGAATTAATATTACTTTTAATGATTAGCAAATTAAAAATGTATGAGTTGCATATTTAAATAAATCGACGACAGATTAATGTAGCCAAATTCATATATTGTCAACTTACTATATTTTTGGATATACTTTTCCACTTATACCAATAATTTTAACTTCAATTTACACCGTACATATCGAAAAGCCTGTAAGAGATTGTAACTGATGGGAAGCTTTCTAAATCACTTGCATGACTAGGGATCGCAATGGCGCATGAAGCGGCTAATAGTAAATTCGTTCTGGCTCTGCTAGATGAAAATTGGTTCTATATTTATTTTATATCTGTGCAGGTATCTATTAAGCGAATATTTATGAATTTCTTGAATACTCACGGATATTCATGAATATTTCTAAATTTTTAAAAAGTAAAAAAAAAATATTACAAATAATTTTAAATTTATATTTAATGTCATTGAAATATTAAAAATGAAAATTTAATATTAATTTTGAACTTGTATTTAAATTTAATTTTGTTGAAATAATATAATCAATAACTTAAAATACATCAATCTCACAAGTAAGTTAAAGTCTCATCACAAAGTTACAATAATTCAATATCATAATTCCAAACAAAAGTAAACAACTTAAAATATATAAATCTTATAGGTCTAATCAAAGCTAGAAAATTAATCAAATTACATTTAATATAATTCTATAACATGTTTAACACATGTTGGTAACTTTATCAACCTCACTTTTATAAGAAAATAAGATGAGAAAATGTAGTTTTAGGATTATATGGCACAAGGATAATTAGAATATTTAAGAAATATTATTAAACGGGTACTCACGAATATGAATATCATCATATCTGCCCCCGCTCCATTTATAAACGGGTAAAAAATTATTCGTTCTCATTATCTGCAGGTAACCAACTAACATATTCATTTATTATCCATCGCAAATTTTACTCGTAAATACCCGTTAGGGCAGGTATTTTTGTCATCCCTGTGTATGACAAAATATTATTGGCACATAAAAGAGGCTTTTCAAAATAAGATACCGAATAACACATTAAAATATATTTTACGTATAGTAATATTTTTAACTTCTCCGCTGGTGAGCCATATGCGGAGCTTCTTCCCCGTAGAAACTAGAAAGTGCCTGAAACTTGAAATCTTTCGCAACTTACTCAAATTTTCCCGGGTAAACCATAGTGGGTTCTTCTCAAATAAATTTACCCAAAGACTAGAACTTATTAATTGTAAGCTTTATAACCTCACGGGTGAAATTTTATTTCGAAGTGACTCCAGACTGAAATACTAAAAACAGAATCATAATCCCGACACCGGAGACAGGGAAATTAATTTGATGATCAAAGGTAATGGATAGGGTGCCTCGCAATCGCATCGCATTAAACAGATAAAAGAGACAAAGTTGGATATATTTTCATGGTAGCCAAAATAAAGACAATGCTGTAATTGATCAATCATTCATTGACATCGTAATGGTCTATGTAGCAGACCTAAGGGACCCAAAATTGGGGTACTAATATTTCTTGTATGGGTTATGGGTGAAAGAGCATAATTATGCGAAGCAAAGAGCCATGTTCAATTGACCCTTCTTGTCCCCATCAACACAGGAAGGGCTTGACTTCCAAGTCCCTAGCTAGCTCCTTCCATGAGAAACTATTCAAATTGCTAATTACCTAGTAGCAAATGACTTCTTCTCTCTCCCTCCCTCACTATGCATTTTGTGCAGGTCTTCTATGTTCCCTAGCATGTGCTACATCATGTGAAACCCACATGTCACCCATACCACGTAATCAAAATTGTCACATCCTAGCCAGCAGGATATTTTTAATTAAAAAATTAAGGAATAAAATCTTAACTACGGTTTTTGTTTCTCAATTATTTGATTCGTAGAAGCATGGTTTTATTCAGGGTCAAGGATAATTTAGGATATTCAATATCATTGAGTTACAATATGCATGATTTTCCACACTCCAGGAAGCTTTTGTCTTTAAGTGGCAATTAATCATAGAAATTTCAAATTATTATTTTTTAATCTATTTACAATATTATTTATTTGAATATTTTTTACCACATATTACATGTTCTATAATTAAAAATTGTTAATAAAAAAGTGCACTTTCCAACCCGGTCAATCCAAGTCCAGCTCAAGCAAGTTCAAACCGATTGCCACATTAAATTTAGAGTATAATTGATGAGAGAAATTCATGTGATCTCAAAGCACATTAAAATGTAATACCTTAGAATTCACAAAACACTGCCCACAATCAGAGGAGAAAATTATGAAAGAATATATCCAAAAATCATGAAGTAACCTAAAGCGACGACTTATATAAGGGATGCCAGATATCATTCTAGACTCAATTTCTTAACCTAAACTCTCCTCTAACTTAAGCATTAGAGTGTCCTTATAGGTCTATAGCCATGGATACTGAAACAACGAAGGTGTCCTCCCACTGTTGAAGTACTTGTAGAATTTTAGCATGAACAAAAAGGATTTTTATTAGAAATTTTTTAAAGAAATTATTGATAAAGGGGTTTAAAAAAATAGTGTTAATACTTAATAGTTTTCAAGTTTATCTAAAAAAGTCTTAAATATGTTTTTAATTCATCAAATTCAAGGTAAATTTGTTTATAATCCCTCAAATTTAAAAATAATTTTTTTTAGTTTATGTAATTTTAAAAAATTTATTTTAGTCTTTATACCCAAATTTTGTTAAGAAATTTGTCAAATACTATTGTATAAAACCTATTTACTGCAAATGTCCCTATTAGTTAAAACATCATATTAAATATATATAATTGATTATATATAGTTATCTCAACCTATCACTTTTAAATATAGTATTGATAACATTAAAGATTAAAATAAATTTTTCGTAAATTACAAAGGTTAAAATAATTTAAATTTAAAGGACTAAAAACAAATTTAATTACCCTACATTTAAAAGACCAAAGACATATTTAAACTGAAAAAAAAAAATTACATGTAAAACTCATATAGAATTGTCAAAAATGAGTTGGACCAATTCCTCTTTGAAGTCATGTTCAAGTTAGAGAAGCATATTTGACAATAAATTTTCTTGACATAATGCATGCATGGTAGTATATTTGATAATTTACCTTACATTTAAGAGATCAAAGACATATTTAAACCTGAAAAAAAAAATTACATGTAAAACTCATATAGAGTTGTCAAAAATGAGTTGGACCAATTCCTCTTTAAAGTCATGTTCAAGTTAGAGGAGCATATTTAACAATAAATTTTCTTGACATAATGCATAAGAGTATATTTGATAATAAATATTCTTACAAATATTTAACTTGAGCATACATTAAAGTTGTTGATTTTATATATAATACATATATATAACTAGTATTTTTTGTCAAATATAATCTAATACATTATGCATTACACAAACAACCTTGGTGTATGTGTTATGTAATTAATTTTTTAAAACTTAAATATGGCTATTTGAAATACAATTCGCCGAAGTAATCTATTTTCTAAAGTAATTAGTTGGGAGTAAATTTGATAATGAAATAAACTATAACTTCAAGTTAGTTTGAGTCTCAATTTCATAATTAATTCGGTTTAACTTAATTTACAAACTAAATGAGTTGAATATTGATGTGTTTAAATAAATTAATTGAACTTAAGTTTTGTATGATTTATTATATAAAAAAGTTAAATTAATATAATTAATTTCATATAAATTATATCTTGTATAAATAAAAAAGGAAAAAATATTCGAACTAAGCTGTTTGCAAACTTAAATTATTTCAAGTTTGAAAAAAAAATCCATTTAAACGTAGACTCAATTTTTGAGTTAAATTAATTCTCATTAATTGAATTGAACCAAATTATTTGACTTAATTTGACTCACTTTCGGCCATAGTTGAAAGTGATAAATTTTACAGAGGATTAGATACTTCTAAAAGTAAAGTCATACAGTTCTAATAGATATATGCATCGCTATTTTACTTTTTTTAAAAACTAATATATGGAATTCGAAACTTCCGAAAATAAATTTAACTATATATATATGTCAAATAAGTCCTATTCTTCATAAATGTCTCCCCTTGATTTTTATTTAAATTAAAATAATAAAACATATATTGAAAGTGTATCTTTTAAAAATCTCCAATAACGTTACCCCTTTCAAATAATTATATTTTAATGTTATTTAATAAAAGAATTTTTTTATTAAGGAAATAAAAGAAACGTTGTTTTTAAATATTCATATTTAATTTACCGGCCCCGTCCAAGTTAAGAATTATCTTTTTAATGGCTTTTTGACCAAAGTGGGGTCGTTGACCAAGTTATTTACGTAAATGAGGCTGTTTTGAATTTATTTACGCCTTTGGGGCTGCTTACAACGGTGTCGCTATGGCCCATAGCGACACCGTTGCCACGTAGCTTTTTTTACACTTCAAGAAAGCCATGAAAGCCATATTAATAGTGTCGCTAGAGCCTACAGCGCCACAAAACAGCTAGAATAAAGTCGTTGTAGCCTAAAGCAACACATATATAAAAAAACATTTATTTTTAATAATTAAAAAGTGGTAAAAAAACAAATTATTTAATAATTTAAAAAAAAAAAAAAGAAATATAGTGGCGTTGTAGGCTACAGCGCCCCCTTTTTTAAAAAAAATTCAGATATATAAAATGTGATAAAAAAGAATTAAAAAACGTAAATACAAAAATAAAAATGTATAAAATAAAGAAAAATGAGAAATAGGTAAATATTTATAAGTACATATTTTTATGTATTCGTAAAGATTACAAAACGCCAAGTTGTGGTGGATTTACACTTTTATTGCAGTTATGGGCATGGGAACGATTCCCAACCATTCTGTCTTCTCCATTTCCACCTATTCCTCCAGCTTGTCCTGTTGGTTTAAGGTATGATGAAATTCAAAATATTAACATTGTTAAAATTATTGAATAAATGTTACAGAAATTAATTGTTTACATTTTGATTTCAGGTGGTCCAACACAGCCACTAAAATAAGCATGAGCGATGATATTAAATTTTATCGCAAATTCTTTGATCGGTTGACCAGAAAATCTGTAAGTAAATAAAATTGAAGGGTTTACGGTTTTCATTATGTAAGTTATTAGTATTTTAATATAAACTAATTACATTTTTTTATTTACAGATTATTTGGCAACCATATCCGCCTTTGGAACAGATGCCCGAGGACTGTACACAGGGGATTCGTATTTGGGGTTCTGTAATCCCGTTACTTTCTCTGTGTATTTGTGAATGGCATCAGCCTGATAGGGTCATGAGGCAATTTGGTTACCAACAACCAGTTCCAAATCCTCCAATGACTCCTGCTCATGTGCATGCGTTGACCCTGCGGGGAAAGACTGATGACGATTGGACTACAATATTAAGTCCAGCACTTGAGCACTGGGCCAATCGATATGCATACCACTTTGCACCTACTTCTCCACAGGTTGGACTATTAGGTCCAAATTCTGAATACATGAGGTGGTATCGCAGAAAGGGGAAATTGTACATTGATCCTGATGAAGTTAAAGACTCGATTGTGGTATGTGCATATTACAACTCATATTTTAATATAATATTTTGTTAAATTATAAAGTGGTAAACTAATTTTTTTATGTTTTGTATATGTAGGGAGACGTAACTGAATGATTGGCATACTTGACATCTCCTCATGGCAGCCTAGAGTTTTCTATGGAAGCAGTCACAGAGTAGACTAATCGATTATTATCGATATCTAATGACTATAGGGCTAGATTCGTTGAGCCAGCTGAGGAAGCACCCCTTCTCCCTGGTTCATATGACATTGAAAAAGTGACTCAAAGCTAAAAAGTTGCTTAAAGAAAGTTTCGTACGATCTGCGGAGAGATAGCCAGCACATATATACTACACTACACACCGCGTAATTGTTTGAGACAAAATAACTTTTTGAGCAGTGATGATTACTCCCAGAAAGGTCAACAAAAGAAACCAAAGTGTTTCCAAACTTTGTTTTTCGTTGAAAAAACCTCCAGCTTTTACACGATTTTGTGCATGCGTGCGTAGTGGGTGACGAATTATAAACCAATTATAAAATTGAACCTTTTAACAGTCACTTTTAGAGATTTTTTTTTATCAGATTATTTATTTTGTCACACATTATTTTTCATCATCACTGCATTTGGATAATTTTCGTGGAATGAAATAGATGAGGGGGGATTTGCAGGTAATTGAAAAAACTCACAACTGTTTAGAGACAGTGATTTGATTGAAATTAAAAGTAAATGATACTGGGTCTCAAAAAAAAAATAATACCTGTTAACATAAGGTGATTAATTTGTGTAGAAATCAGAAAACAACAAAATACTTCGTTTAATGATAACATGTGTTCTTACCGGAAATCTGCTGGAGAGATGATCCTCCGAGTAAGATTGGTGAGTCTATGTTCTTACCAGAAATCTGCTATAGAGATGATCCTCCGAGTAAGATTGGTGAGCCTCCTTCGCTGGTATGCTTGATGCTCCAAAATGGGGGTGATACCTGCAAAAGAGACTCTGATGCTAAAGTTAGTGTTTGTAGGTGTATGAGTCTCGTATAAGTAATGCACGTACATTTGTGTGTATTAGAGTTTTATTGGGCCTTGGGCCCGAGATCAGTTTATGACCTAATTGGATAGCGAGCCGATGTCGCCTAGCGCATGTCCGAGG